CCGCCGCCATGAGTGGCCCGGAGCCGCCGGGGCGTGGGATGCGGTTTGCGGAGAGCCAGCTACGGCGGCACGGCTGGCGGCGAGGTGGGGGCCGGCTTGTGGTCCCCCCAGTCCGCGGTCCCGCCATCCCTTGTTCCTCCCCGAGTGCCCCCGGCGGTCCCCAGGCCCCGTCCCCCCGGTCCCTGGCTCTCCCCGGTCTCACAGCCCGTCCCCCGGTCCCCGGCCGTCCCGGAGGAGCAGGGCTCGGCCTCGCCGCCTCCCCCACCACCCCTCCCACTCGGGGTTTCGCAGCAGCCCCAGCCCCCGGTGGCCTGCCCCGGCGGCGGGGGGCTGGGGGGAGCCACTGCGATGAGTGACGGGTGTCCTTGTCCCCAGGGCAGGGGCTGGGGAAGCGGGAGGACGGCATCGCCGAGGCCATCCGGGTGAAGGTGAAGTGCGGCACGGCGGGGGTGAGTGCAGCCCCCCTGCCCGGCGGGGGCTCGGACCCAGCAGCCGCCGCCGGCCGCAGCCATTTCGGTGGCTCCTCTGCACCCCGCAGGTGGGACATGACGCGGCAGAGCCCTTCTCCTTCCACTGGTGGGATCACGTCTTCAACAAGGCGGCTGCCAACATCGCTGTGGAGGCTGGGCAGGGAGGAGGGCTGGGGGGGCTGGGGGGGGGTTGAAGGCAGGGGAGGGCTTTGGGGTCCCCTTTGCACGGCTGCTGTATGTCTCTGCAGCCCCTAACCGCACAGCACCTTGCACGGGTACTGTGGTGGCAGAGAGGTGCTGCTGGAGGGGACGAAGCCCCTCGGACAAAATGCTCCTGAGCCCTTTGTATCTCTTTCTCTCCCCCCAGGATGGCATCTCCTTGAAGACGCTTTCCGAGCAGGGAGTCAGAATCAGCAATAAGAAGCCCCGCAAGGCCAGCAGTGCTGGCAGCATGCTGTATGGCCGCTTTGTGAAGGTAACTGGCCCTGGGGATGTGGCTTGGCGAGCAGCTGGCATCTCTTTGAAGGCTGTTTTGAACTCTGCAACCCTCCTCGCAGTGCAGCCTCCCCAGCCCATCACTGCTGTGGCCCCCAGGGCCCCCTTTTCCTTGTCCCCCTTTCTCGCAGCCCCTCTGCCTCTCTCCTCTGCAGTCAGCCACACTCACAGCACGCGGGGAGGAGTCCACAAAGCTGCCCTCCGGCTCAGAGAGCAGCGAGGAGGAGAAGCTGGACCTCTCTTCGGCCAGGAGGTGAGCCTGGGCAAGCAGCGCATGCCCTGTCCCCAAGATGCAGCAGTGGGGAGGGACAAGGGCTGCGAGGGGGAGCTGATGCTGGGGGTGACGTGTCCTGTCTATGTCCTGCAGGCTGACGGACGAGGAGCTGATGCGAGCGTGTGGGGGCCGCACAGCACACAAGTACGTGGTTGGTGGGGGCTGCATGGTTGGGCTCCCCCCTCCTGGCCGGGGATTTTGAGCAGGCTGGGCTGGGGGCCACATTCCCTGACAGGGAGGTGCCAGACCCCAGCTGCCCACGATCATTGCAGGGGTGCCCGTCATGGCCTGACCATGAGCGCTAAGCTGGCACGCCTGGAGGAGCAGGAGCAAGCCTTCCTGACCACATACCAACACAAGGAGAGGCAGCATGAGCCACCAGAGAGCAGCCACCCAGCAGAGAGGCTGGAAAAACAGGAAAAAAAGAAGAAAAAAAGGAAACAGACTAGGGATGGAGCTGATCCCGAAGTGGTGCAGGGCCAGGAGCCAAGCAGAGAAGAGGAGGCGGCGGGACAGGAAGGGAAGGTTGTGAAGAGGAAGAAGAAGAAGAAGAACCAGGAGCCAAGCAGAGAAAAGGAGGTGGCAGGAGAGGAAGGGAAGGCTACAAAGAGGAAGAAGAAGAAGAAGCAGGAGGAGGAGGAGAAAGAAGAGCCAGTTGAGACAGAGAAGAAGGAGGACAAAGAAGAGCCAGCTGAGACAGAGGTACCTCTAAAAGACACAGATGGGCCAGACCAGGCTGGGCACAGCCCCAGGAAGAGGAGGAAGAAAAGGAAGAAGGAGCCGGAATGAGCAAGGGCCAAGGCTGCTGTGCTGCGCAGCTGCCGGTACCACCTGGCTGTGAGGGTCCCAATCCTGCCTGCTGGCACTGGTGCGTGCTCAAGGGTGCTCCAGGCTCTTCCCAGGTGGAGCCCAGTGCCGTGGCCCAGCTGTGTGTTTGCTGCCTGGGGATGCTGGGCTGGGACTAGTTGGTCTGAAGCTGGATCAAGCTTTATTTCTCTCCCTGAGCCTTCCTCCCATCAGAGGTGACCCCAGTTCCCACCAGGCCCTGGGGCAGGCACCCATTTGCTGTGGGTCTGTTGCAGAGGGACACAAGGGGACAGACAGCACAGAGTATTGAAATATATTTTTCAAGGGCATGAATAAATCTTTATTGCAATGAAACTATCCTGAAGTGCAAGATATGTAGCAGACCCCGGGATCCTGGATCGTGTGTACATCTAGAACCACTCAGATTAGGTAGCAACCCCAAACAGAGCCTGCCTGGCAGCTGCTCCATCGGTCACAAGCTCCTGGGGGCTTTGGTCTGCAGTGAACGTCAATCCTGCTGGCAGAGCTGGGCAGGACTGCAGCCCAGTGAGGTGCTGAGCATCCTCCTAGCGGAGAGCTGTGGCTTTGACAGAATTGGGCCCTGATCTGTGCCGAAGCCTAGCCTAGCACCCCAAGCCCCTGCTGAGCCCCAGCCCTAGGTCAGCTGCAGGACACAGTCTGTCTCGGGGTACGGTGGCAGGTTTAAAGTGTATTTCTCCTGGAGCGCGGCAGGCACAAACCTGCCCCCGAGGAAGTGGTAGCGGCCGGCAAAATGCATTGCTGCCTTCTTGGGTGCCGTGAGGGAGATGAGCATGTCGGGCTGGAGACCGTCTGCCTTCCCCTTCTCCACATCCCAGCCTGCAACAAGCCCCGAGGCCAGGCTAGAGCCAGGAAGACCCCCGCCAGGCACCTCCCTCCACTAGGTCCAGCTCTTACTCACCCGAGGGAATGTCGATGCTGGCGATGGGCACTGTGATGCGCTCAAGGGTGCTGAGGATGCTACCGAAGGGCTCTCGCACTGCCCCCTTGAAGCTGAACCCGAAAATTGCATCCACCACCAGGCCATAGAGCTCATCGATGAGTGCAGCCTGTGGCAAGGGAGGCAGTGGGTGAAAAACAGCCCCGGGCATGGCTCCGAGGGCAGCTGCTCCGTAGCCAGGGACTGCTTCTCACCTCGGCTGGGAATTCGGGGAGGAAGGGGATGTCCATCTTCTGGCACTGGGTGGTTAAACCTTCAAAGAGGGGCTTGTTGGGGCGTTTGGGGTAATACACGGTTGGCTGGTAGCCCTGGAAGAGCAGAAGGGACCTGAATGGTGCTCTGGCACCAGGAGAAGCCAGAGAAGCAAGAACCCCAAAGCTTGTGGGTACGGGGGTGTGCAGGGACGGGCATCCTCCCTAGGGGGGAGCATGCAGCTGCCTGCACAAGAGACTCACAAACATTTTCAGGTGTCGGGCGCAGACCAAGCCATCGCCGCCGTTGTTGCCTGGCCCGCACACCACCAGCACGGCAGGCTGGCTGGTGGTGAAGGAGCTGGGTGGGTAGGCCTGGTGTGGGGCAAGAAGCGTAGGGTTACGCTGGGAAAGCGGGACACCCCCCCCACCCCAGGACCACCACCTGCCTCTTGTACGCCCACCTTGGCAATGGCGGTGGCACAGCTCAGCCCTGCCAGCTCCATCAGCTGATCCACGCTGAACTTGTACTCCGTGAAGAGCTCCTGGTCGATGGCCTGGGCCTCGTCCTGCCTGGGGAGGGAGGATGGCACCCCTGGGGGCATTAAAACCCGGCGAGACCCCGGCTCTAGGGGGTGTGTGTGGGGGTTCAGGGCCAGCCAGGGGGGGCAGCTATGATCCCCTTGACTTTGCATAGTGCCAGCAAGCGGGTGGGAGTGGGGGGATAGGGACAGGGACAGTGTCCAGCTCCCCGCGCTGAGCCCCCCCCGTGCACCACTGCCCCCCCCTGTGCCCTTCCCGACCCCTCTCCCCCGTTAACGCCCCCGCACCCTCTACCACCCTCCGGACGCCCCTGCAATTTTCGCCTCCCCCGGGGTCCCCGCACGTCCCCTCCGCAGCCATTACCCGAGGAAGCGGAGCCCCCGCGGGCCGGACCCCGCGTTAGGCCCGTGCATGGCGCGGTGGGGACGGCACCGCTCTCGGTCCCGGTCCCAGCTCCGGTCCCAGCCCCGGTTCGGGCAGCGTCCCCCCGCCCGAACCCCTGCCGCTACCAGCAGCCCCAGGCCCAGCAGCGCCCGCGGTCCCGGCATGCGGCGGGAGCGGCTCGGCTCGGCTCGGCTCGGCTCGGTACGGAGCAGGCGCGGAGGCAGGGGCGGCCCCGGGGCG